CCTTACAAAGGGCGCCGCAAATCCAAATTAAGATGGACTGAGCCCCTCGCAGCCCACACGCCGGGCAACATGGATCCTTAATCTTATCTTCGCAGAATTAAAAACCGATAGACGTCATGTAAGCAACATTCAAACCCACGGCGGTTTTGGTCCCTGAGAGTAGTATTTCAACTGGTTAAGTTGTGTTTCCTAGGAACTTGTTTGGAGCTTGAATGTTTCGAATTTTGAAGATAAAGGGAAACGTCAAAGTGTTTCATAAAATAGTGATCTGTCAGTTTCTAGACAACTGTACGAGTCGTGCCAATTTTGTTAAAACCGGTTGATTTATTTGAATTATGAAGGCTAGGTTAGCCATTGAGTTTGAATACTTACGTAACTACAAAAATAAACTAGACAAGGAATTACTAAATGTCATTGGTGAATGGGCCTTTCATCAAATGCTACTATTGAGGTTCAAATCTAACCTTAAACAACCAAAACACCTAAGCTATGTGATGGTGTCACGACTCTAGTCACAGGCAAGAGAAATAATAAATACTCCAACATTAGCCTAAAATAATTTCTAAAAAGGTTCCGGCCTAGATATTTAACGACCTATCATGTGAATGTGGGACACGAAAAAAACTGTTTAAGTTATACATTTTTATTTACATGATTTTCGATTTTAATCAAATTTAAGTGAATCTTAAGAGTAAAATTTAAAGGGCAGATAGGTACCCATTCCTCAAATAAAATCCACATTAGCTGTCTAGGTAGAGTAAACAAGATGCCTACGTATCTGAAGGTTGCCTGTCCGATTACCAGAAGGTTCGGTTCTGCACCCAGTTTTGTCATGTGATTGGTTTACAAACAAAAGCACTTGGAAAGTAGTAAGGCTAGGGGTTAATCGTTTCCTTACAATGCAAATGGCATAAAAAATCTTTGATGAACAAATATTCAGAAAAAAAAAAACAAAACATCTCACAAGTAAATGTTACCCAACAATGACTCACTGAACAATTTAAGCTTCAAGAGGGCCCAGTTGTTTCCAGGGTGATAAAAGCACTTAACATATTAGAGGCGGTAACAGGAGGGAATGGGCACACGGAAGGGACTAAGGCTAAATGTGTAATGACGTCATATATCTAGTGGTTATTGTCTTCTCTTGAGGCGACACGATTACCGTAACGAAACGATGTGATTTCAGCGGCGTTCGTGGCATAGTTGGTAGCGTTTCGGATTACTGTTCAGGAGGTCCGGGGTTCGAAACCCGCTGGCAGCATTAACTTTTTGTCAACAAATTTTTCATATCAGCAAGTTTGGTTGGTTAGGTTAGGTTATGACAGTTTAATTTTATAATACTAAATTTTATAACTAATTTTATAATTAATTAAAAATTATAAGTAATCATTAATTAGATTTTTATCTTATATAGTTTTTATATTATCAGCAAGTCTGGTTGGTTAGGTTATGTTATGACAGTTTAATTTTAAAAATTAACAATTTATTTTATAACTTTAAAACAATATTTTATAATTAAAAAGTTAATTTTACAACAAAAAATAAAAAATAAAAAATTAATTGAAATTTTTTCAACTTAGCAGTCCTAGCGGCGAACGCTGACACTACAAGATATGTTAGCCTTAGTCCCTCCCGTGTGCCCCACCGGTAACAGGAGGGGGGATATATTACAGTATATACAACAGCCACACTTTACCCAATCCATTAAGTTGGGGTGAGAGACATGCGGGGGGGGGTTGGCCGTTATTTACCCCTTATCAGCGCCCTCTGGCGTTTGACCGTGATACCTCCAGGTGGGTAATTAGACATGATTACGACTGGGAAATATGACTAGAGAAACAGGATGAAGAAGGGTAGGTTGTTGGACGTTAAAAGTAGTTTAGCTATACTGTATTGTGTGTTTATATTTTTGTAAATTACACTATAACGCAATATGATTTTTAATTTATTAATTCAAACTAAGATAATTGATTTTGGGTTGAAATTTTTTTGAGTCAACTAAAAAGCCTCTTTGAATGAACAATAGAGAACATTTTGTAGTTGATTGAACTAACATCATGAATGAAGCACATACCAATCACGTTCTGTAATACATAACAATTTAATTCGTAAGGAATTAAACAAAATCCATTTTCTACAGTCAACGTTATGTATTTAAAGCCAACAACTGTGTCAAAAACTACAGGACTTCTAAGTAAACGTCATCATCAGACTGATATTCACAATAGTGATAACTCGTTGTTATCGCCAGGGATGATTTCACTTGGTCACTGGTATTTTTCAGGAATTGAGTCTAAAATATGAAAGTCGATCTTCAAACACACAATTTTGGTTACTTTACTTGTTCTTTTGTAGTTTAAATGGCTAAAAACAAAGTGAAATTACCCCAGAGATATAATTGCTCCCAGCGGCATGTATATAAAGGCCTAAGACCAGAATATTTATGAAAACACAACAATTTACTATACATTGTTTCCTGGCCCAACAGAGGACTTTAACAAGTGTAACTATTTACCATGAAGTCAATTTAAACAATTAAATATACTTAAAAACCGTTATCGTATTTTTTTTATTCCATCTATATTTTCCCTAGCTAAATAGTGCCTGGGCATGAAATATACCAACAACTTTTGCCAAGTGTATTTAAAATATGAAGGATATTAACCTTTGGCTCAGAATGTATATTTTTGGTAGTATTACTTTTCCCTGACCCAACAGTACTTTGATAATGGAGCATATCAACAATTTTCCATGCAATACAAATATACCAATTTTTCTCCCAACATTTTTTTATATGTTCCAGAAAACAAAAGAATTAATTTTTCCTAGTGAAACAGAACCTAAACAAGGCATATAACCTTTTTCAGTAAAGGCTAGTTAACCCTTTGTTATAATTTCTTTTATAAATATGAACCGTTTTTCCAGCTTTAACAGTATTTGAATATGGATCATATCCTACCCACATAAAGACCACTGTCTCACACTACACACTAGCAAGTCTCATGTAATCAGCTGCTGCTGAGTTAAGCTAACCTCGAGGTGTTCATTTCACACTTTCCGTTTCTCCATAAATTACTGCACGGAGCTGTAAATATTGTAATCTTGTTTCAATTGCGGCACAGCAAATTGCAAATCTCGCTGTGTACGAGGTATTCTGCCCTTGCCTGAGAGAATGTTGAGAATATTTTTAGTTGTTTTTTGATTGGACGTGTATGTAAGTATGAGGTATGGTATTATCTAGTTATGTGTTACATAGTAAAGAGATAGGAAATGGTTACATTACATCTTATGGGATTTTGTTGGGTAAAATAAATTATTTTAGAACCTATTGGACAATATAATCACATTGCATTGGTCGGATACAAAGTGGAATTTTATGGAAACTTTAGGATGTAAGGAAAAAAACGCATACTTTTAAACCAATGGTGAAGATAATATGCGATTATTTCTGGGAAACAGGGATAAAGTGGATTTTACTACGCTTTCTGAGATGGCTGTTCCGTTAAACAAAATTAGGGTAAACAATCGTCATGACAAACTTAGGGATTTTGTAAAGTTTGGGTAAACATAACCTCTTCAAGACTAAGCTTAGGGTTGGATTTGAATTTTTGTCAAAGAGTTTACAAAGTGAAATCTCATGAACTTTCTGAGAAATCGTAGAGTAAAACCAAATTAACGAGGGATTTTAAGAGGACCTTCTTGGATATTATAAAGTTATAAAGCATCCTCTTAAAACCTTTCGTTTGGATTATAAAAATATTATTTTTCGGATAATGTTAAGCCAGGTATAAAGTAGATTTTCAAGAAACCCTTTTAGGTATTGCAAAATGAAAATGCACCCCCTTGCTACGTAAAATAAGGGAGTGTGAATTATCAAACAGCCATGGATAACGTGGGATTTTTACAACATGTAGGAAACCGTTGGGTAAAAACACAGTCTCAATGAATTTAATCCTCGATGAAAATCCTTCGCGACAATCAGTCCTACACTGCCTTGTTTTGGCGCTCATCCGTTTAATATTTCAAGTTAGAAATGATCTTTCGTGTTCCCACCACGCGACCGAGATGTAATGGTTTTTGGAACTCATAAGTACACGGGTCTGGCCCACGCCACCGTAATGTGTTCGATTTCGAGCGAAATTTATCGATATTCTGTTTGGAAAGGTGTATCAGTGGGTGGTCCAACCGTGGGGTCTATCGAAATGTTTTGTGCTCCAGCTGTAATATACATATATTATTTTAATTAAACCCATTCATAGGCCCCCCATTCTAAGGCGGCGTCAGTTGAAAAGGCATAACGGTTAATATTTATGTTGTTTCCTACTTTGTTGTAACTAAGGACGTCTTATACATATGAATAAACAGATGAAAAATTTTCAATTAACCAAATAATTGGAAAACGGTTACAAAGTAACGACATTTCAACCTACTTAGTAAATATATACGACAGAGTATACAGTTGAAATGGATAAATAGAATAAATACCGGTAGTAATATTAACAAAATAGTTGCTTTCACTTCTTCCAAACAAAGTACATTCATAAAGTAACAGAACACATCCCCCGTGACCTCGAGAATCAGGACAATAAAATCATATTAAGTAGATGTATACGATAAAAGATTTGTTATTATTTGAATTATGTATGCCTACAATACTTTTTTACTTATGTATTTTTAACGCCATTAGCATTGTTTTGTTAAAGGAGACGGTCCAACCCTAGTCTTGCTACTAACTTCTAACTACGAGTATATAGCATAATCAATTGATAGCGAATTAATTTTTAGCATCTAGATACAGAAAAGTATTACTTGTTTCACTTAAGAAAGTAGTATTGATTTAACGAATATTTCACAATCGGCAGAAGCTAAATCACACACAAACGTTCTAACACGAAATTTTTACATGACACATGTTTTTTGAATAGTTTTTGAACATTTTGTTAATAATTGGAGATCAAAAAAACATATATCACTATTTTTTAAATATGAAAGACACTCACACTGTACTACGAAGGCACCTAGTTCGGCTGCTAGCTCAAAGGACACTGGAAGACGTCCTTGTAGAATGTCCTGCTTGACCTGAAGGAAGAATTGATACCTAAAACAAATAGGAAAATCGTTACTCAACTTGATTACACTTTATTTATTTAATGAGATAATTAAATTCTGTAAGCAAACGTTTATTGAGACGGTATACTGTTTTTTTAAGTATCACCTGGTATTTTAGACATATACCATACTAGCTGTACCCGCGGGCTTCGCCCCGTTTAACTTCATAAGTATTCGCATGGCTCATTCACGTCCTGGTTGAAGTTCGTTCGCTACGCTCACTCACCTTTAGGTTGGAGCTCGTTCGCTGCGCTCACTTGCCTTCAGGTTAGCTCGTTCGCTACGCTAACTCGCCTCCAGGTTGAAGTTTGTTCGCTACGCTCACTCACCTTTTGGTTGGAAATTAGCTGTTGTCATATATTAAAAAAAAATTAATAGTGCTGCACCCTGTTGGTAATCCTTTTAACTTTTATGCTATTGAATATCATAGAACAGAACCAACTTGTTTAATTGAAACAGCTGTTAAGATTCATTAATTCCTTTTAAATATGAAAAATCATAAGATTAACATGGGGAACTACAGAGCCACTGGGGCGGAGCCCGAAAGGGTTTTTGAGATAAGAATATGCTTTAATGTTAATCGGGAATGTGAGCTATCATTATGCCAAATTCCAGCCCAATCCGTCCAGTAGTTTATGCGTGATTGAGCAACACACACACAAACACACACACAAACATACACACAAACATACACACAAACTCACAAACTTTCAGATTTATAATATTAGTAAGATTTATGGCATTATTCATTTCCCGTAAGCATATAATAAACTGTTAAAATATTAGAGGATCCCTTAAAAACATATCTCCCGAAATTTAAATGTTTGATGCGAAAAATAATAGAGGATAGAATACCATAAGATATGATTAACAACTTCTGGGATTTTATAAGTAAAACTCCACCTTCTCGTGTTATTGTTACGAAATATAGTATTTGATTGATATTATTTTATGTTTTTATAGGTAACAAAGCGAAATTTCACGGATTTCATGTGATACCTCAGTTAGTGTGAAAATACACTAAGTAAAAAATTCACAAAACTACATTATAACCAATGTTTTATAACAAATGAAAACCTAGTAAAATTAAACAATAGTATACACTCAACACTACCACAAACATATGTAACCAAATGAAAGGTTAAAAGTGCTCGATTCACAAATGACAAAAGAAACGGTTTGTTAGAGTGGTTGTTTTAATTGCATTGGTGCGTAGTTGCCAGCTAGTGCACTCTAGAGGTATATTGCGCTATTCCACAAATGGGGCTTTTGTATCCAGCTCTATGCTAGGGAGGGATGACAACAAACCTATTTTAGCTAGGGTTGTTCATAGTAACCCAATATACCGAGGTATATAGCGCGTATATGGCGTGTTTGTAATAGGATAGTAGTATAAGTGGATATAAAAAATTATAACTCAATATTTTTATTTTTGGAAAAAAGAACTTAAAAAATAACAGATCACATGATTTTAAAAGGGATTAACAGAATTTCATGCTTAACATTTCTCTGTCAATGTATTGAATTAGATACGTACTTTGAATAACCGTTGATGAATTTCGTAAATAATTAAATACTTATCACCTTTATTTAAAAATAATTAAAAAAAACTCGATTTTTCATTTGGATTCGCATAGTTGACTAGAGAGAGAGTGTATGGGTATAGTTCAATTTGTTTCAAAATTGTCGTACTAACATTTCTGGGAAAATTATTTTTTTTATTTGAATATTTTTATTTGCATTCATATTAATAGCCTAAGTTTAATGCTTAACGGGGATTACAGTATTTAATGCAAAATATTGCAAAGGTTACCGGTTCAATCTAGAAAGACAATATCACTGTAAAGGATATAATAAGCTTGCTTACGGCTTTGAAAAAGAACCATTGATTATATGTTCTCAATAATACATAGTATTGTACAGTCAATGACTGTTTCAAGCTGTCCTGACCATGAGCTGTAGATTGGGCTTTTAATAAATATGGTCATGTTAAAGAAACGCCAGATATCAGTCAGTAACAAAATAAATAACAGATTACCTTCTTCTACGCTTATCCATATACATTCATGTTCATCTTAAAATTAGAATCCAAATTTGTGTTGCTAGGTCAAAGAATTGAATTGCGTTACAGCAGTTTTAAATTTCAAAGTAAAAATATTTTTTTTAACAATCAAACATACACTAAAAAAAATTCTGATAACAATTCAAATTAATGTTTTTAGATCATAGAAACGAACAAAGTATAAAAATGAGAGGTTACAATTAAAGGAAACCGTTGAGTGAAAACACAGTTTGGTGCGTAATGCAATCTAAGTACACTTTGATTTTGTAACAATAAAAGCAACATTAGAGCACAAGTAACTTGTGATTTCCCGCCTACCACTCAACTACTTCCGGTCAATATCCGATTAACTTCCGGTCCGGGCTCGCCTACGTGTTGCAATCACTTTACCAACTTTAGCGTCACTTGTTGCGCTGATCGACTGAAACTCGCCTGTTTCTACCTGCAGGTTTGAATAAACAAAACTATTTAGAGGGAAGTTAATCTAGTCCGTATTGTGTAAAAAATAGTTTGTGATCATTGTTAAATATGTAAGAAATAACTTCAGAACCAAACACAATCAATCATAAATTCCATGTTAATTCAAACTCTAAACAAAAACAATCAACTGTAAACAAAGGTATTATAAAATGTGATTTGATACATTAAGCAACATTAATTAACACATGATTTTAGACAGTATCTATCAATAATTTACGCAGATTTCTGTTAAACTAGGTTGCACAACTTGAAAATCAATAAACGGTTTGGGTAATCTGTGAGACCCTTCCCACCCAAATGAGTTTTGACCTTGTAAAATGTATTTACGACAACAATCTTAGTGAATCTTGGAATAAAAACAGTGAATGAAATGGCTTGAAAACGCTCCAAAATAAAGGCAATTATTAGTTTAACATACTTAAAAATAAAACTAAATGAATAAACCGAATAAAGTATTATTTTGAATATTTTAAAATATTCAAAATTATTTTATGATACAAAAATGCATTTTAGTGAGAAGATTTTACTTAGCGAAACACAACGGCGAAAACCCGACTCTAATAGCATGTTTCGTTCCAAAGTTAAGATTTTTTAAAGTCTAAATTAAATCAATGACATTCCATGGTAGAGATAAATTTAAATACTCAATGACTATTTCGCGAATGAATGGACATTTAAACCGATAAGATAACGGAGCGCCTCATTCATTTGTTATCTCTTTAAATGTTTAAAAACCTACCTCAATTATTGTTGCTATTTTATCAACATTCGCAATGCTGCCATTTTTGACTCCTTTGTCCGTTTGAGGTCGGGTTTGCGGCATTGTATTGATCTAAATAAGACCTTTAATTTGAAGTGCATATCAAACTATGCTTGACTCGCAGATTTTCTTCTGATACCTGAAGAGGTACCAGAACAAACTTTTTTTATCATCACTGGATAATGTTTTTAAATAATATTTTGTAACCACTGAATTTGTTTACCCATGCTGCTCCGCAGCGTTGAAATAAACATCATATCCGAGAAATAATCAAATTTATGATTTTTGACTGAGTAATGCAGTATCTTCAACTTAACTGATTCAACCGTTTAATACCTTAGCTTAAATCAACACCTATAATTTATTGATTATTTTAAGTCTAAAACATATAAAAACATTAACAATACGACAGGTATTGGTTTTTAATCATAGAAAATCTTGTAAAAATAATGTTTATGTTTGATGTTCACCTTGCTTTTGCTTGAAACCCGTCCGATATGAATAACTAATAGCTAATAATAACTAATTAAATGAAATCCAGTATTTTACTGAAGGTTCTTAGACCAAAATATATAGTATTATATAATTATAACTGGTGAAATGCATCTTAAGTTGGAGTAGGGATTCGAAAATAAATCAAATTCATGTTTTTAGGTCGACTTATACAGTAGATAAATATATGCCGATGCTTGATGTGAAATCTGTGCGTGCATACCTTCAATTTGAAACCTCAATCGTGAAAGTCAGTGACACAGGTTCTTCTTCCGTTGCAAAGTACGGGTACAACAGCTAGCGTTGTATATAATCGTAGTGTTTGTAAAATGGGGTCACAATATTTCTGCAACTTTGGTAAAAAAAACCAGCGATTTTATTTGCCAATACTGAACTAAAGACCTTTCGATTGTAAAGGGAGATGACTTCCAAAAGTCACTGACTTACGAAAAACTTGTTCAAGCAATGTTAAATATTTCGTTCATAAGATGAGGAAATGTTTTATAAAATTGCACGTAATAAAATCACTTGATAATAAAATGAGATCAATGGTCATTTTACAAGGGTTAAGTACGGGATTTTAATGAATATACTATTAATTTTGAACAATAATAACCATAAAATAATTGGAAAGATTCTAAAATGATATTTATATAGCTATATTATATGTCCACTTAATTGATTGGGTCGATAATGGTTACTTTCAAACCATTATTTTTTCAAAACACTGTTTCACATAAGATCTGCGACAAAGTGAGATAATTTACCTGTACAATTTGTCGCTATCAGGGGAACGCCTAAATGTAGTACAATATTTCACAGACATTTACTAAGTAATCCCTCTGCATTCGGGAGTTGCCGAGAAAAGCAATTACTTAAAACAATAATTCACTTTACGCTCGCGGCTTTTATATGAATTGTGTCGTTACGGTCGTGGTCACGTGCTGAATGGCTTTAAATATGAAAATATATTTCAAAATGCTAGTGAAAATAAAATTTTACAATTTTTATTGGTTTTTTATTTTAAATTTCCACATTCAGTGGAAATGCCAGTGGATTAATTTCTACGATGAATTAGTCATTTGCTACTTGTCTATGCGATTAGTCATTAGTCATAAATCATTTATCCTCTGAAAAGGTACAATTTGTTACAATCGTGAATCTCCGTAGTTAATTTCACAAATATATTATGACT